AAAATACATGCAAATGCACCTGCAACCCCTGTTGTCCTATACAGTGATGGGACAGCGCTCCCAATCCTCCCCCCCTCCCAAGCCAAAGCTGCTTTTTAGGAACGACTACCACTTCACCTTTTTGCAGTTTAGTGATATGCACTGTTATTTTTCATCCATGAATGTGAGTCAGATACTATTCCTCAACAAATGAAAGATGAAGCTGAATTGTAACAGTTTGTTCAAGATTGTACCAAAAGTTTTTTGTTTTAATGAAATTTTGGCATCATGTCTTTAGATAGAAATCTTATCTATACTAGAACTGGGATATAGATTGCTTAACTCCAAATTGAAACTTGTAGGCACCTTGACTGTTAATGCATTTATTTTATGTAATTCTTTGTGGCTTACTTTTCCTGCATCAAAAGCCATCCCAGAAGCTATATCCTAACATACATGAATGGGGATGCAGGATGCAAAAAGCGTATAAAGAGAGATTGTTATATATATTTCTTCCTGGCCTACAATGTCATGGAAATCCCCAGTTAAGGCAGTCCCCACTGAACCTCTTAATGATGAAAAGTCTACTTTAGCTATATATCCTACATTACAATTAGCTGAACTAATTCCATAAATTGCCTGTATGTGGCATCAGACCAATTGGATTATAAAGGACTTTTTTTCTCAATTTCCACAGTGATTTCTTTTTAATCAGTCTTAGTGGTACCTGGTTCAGCTTGCTCAAGGCATTTGTGCTGTTGTTGTTGTTGGTCGCGAAATTGTGTCTGTCCCATCGTGACCACATGGACCACATTCCTCCAGGCCTTCCTGTCCTCTACCATCCCCCAGAGTCTATTTAAGCTCACGCTGACTACTTCAGTGACTCCATCCAGCCGCCTCATTCTCTGCTGTCCCCTTCTTTTTTTGCCCTCAATCATTCCCAGCATTAGGCTCTTCTCCAGTCAGTCCTTCCTTCTCATTAGGTGGCCAAAGTATATGAGTTTTATTTTCAGGATCTGGCCTTCTAAAGAGCAGTCAGGATTGATCTCCTCTAGGATTGACCAGTTTAATCGCCTTGCAGTCCAAGGGACTCGCAGGATCTTCTTCAGCACCATAGTTCAAAGGCCTCAATTCTTTGGCGCTCAGCCTTCCTTATGGTCCAACTATCACAGCCATACATTGCAACTGGGAAAACCATAGCGTTGACTATACGCATTTGTACTATAGCTGAATGCAAAAACGAGAGAGAACTGAAGGCAGAAGGCCAAAGAACGCATGAACCGTCCCTTCTCCCTGAGATTGCTGTAATTGATCATATATTTTTCAAAGAAATGCTTTGGCTTGTTCATTCTTCCAAGCATTTGAAAATCTGGGCATTTTTAGTAGTGTGATGCTCAGTGGTTACTCTTCAGTAAATGTTTTAAGATGAGTATATTATAATTTATAATTAGTATTTGCTTAGTTATATCTGACTGTTTTAGTGATTCTTATTTTTACATTCAGGTTATTTTTGTAGTATACTGGCTGCAACTCACAATCATTATTTTTTTGTAGGAGGATCACCTTGTCCTTGCAGGTGTATTTTCCTCCTCCACCCCTAGCCTTATCTGCTTATCTGCAGAACACTTCTTTCTCTTTGGGGCACACTTCATTCTGACATTTACTTCCTTGATTAACTTAAGAAGACTGAAAACTGAATATTTTGTAAAAAAAAATTGTTAGCAATTTAAAAAAAAATGTTTTCAGACAAGGAGATATTAAACTACTCCTGCTATTTGTAGTAACGAGAACTATACCATTGATGCAAATGAGAATTGTCATCAGCCTGGATTGGGAACAAATCCCCCCCTCCCCCGTGGACTGAAGCTTTGATTTACTTTAAAAGTAAGCACAGTCATTCAGAGAACCCTCAACTGTGTGAAGGGTCACTTTTAACGTAGCCGTATGTTCAGCCTTCATTTTGTGCTTAACTATGTGACCGCACCTGACCTTGATGAAATTATGAGCATAAGAAGACATGATCATGTAACGGCCTACTTTGTTCTGGGTATAGGCCAAGCTTTGCGAAGGCAGAAAGATGCTTTGGAGATTTGGCAGGAGAGAAGAACACACACACAAAAAGTGAAATAGGTTAACAAGTGAGAATATAGATATAAGTATGACTGGATAGCAAAGGAAAAAATGTGAGAAACAGCAAACCAAAACATTCAGTGAAGCAGCAGACCAGGAGATTCTTTATGAAGCAAAATAAGAATAAAAATGCTAAAAGCTAACCATTGGGAGGGGAGTCTTTTTCTGCCTGGATGGTAAACTCTTTGTCCTTTTAATTAAAATTTTTTCTTAGTGTCACCATTACTAATTGTTCTTGGAGTGAACTGCTAATATAAATACGGGGTTGTTGGGCTGGTAATGCAAATTAATTATATTGTTGTTTTTCATGAGATTTAATGGGTTATCTTTTATTTTTTAGATTTCAAAAATGAAGAAATGGAGAACAAGTAAGTTTATCTTAACGATATTCTTGGAGAATATAATCATCTTTGCTTATGAATTTTTTTTTTTTATTATTGAATTTGTATACCGCCCTACTCCCGAAGGACTCAGGGCAGTGAACAGCCATGGAATAAAAACATATAAATACAAAATTTAAAATAGATTAAAACGAATTAAATAATTTGGCTGAACAAATTTAAAACCCCAATAATTTAAAACCAGATTTAAAATTTCCATTTAAAAAGGGGAAAGACTTAGGTCAGGCCGGCTTGATGAAATAGGAAGGTCTTGAGCGCGCGACGGAAGGTACGCAGATCCGGGATCCTCCGTATCTCCGGGGGGAGCTCGTTCCAGATAGTAGGTGCCCCCACAGAGAAGGCTCTCCCCCTGGGGGCCGCCAGTCGACATCGTTTGGCCGACGGCACCTGGAGGAGCCCCTCTCTATGGGAGCGTACTGGTCGGTGGGAGGCTATTCGCGGTAGCAGGCGGTCCCGTAAATAACCAGGTCCTAAGCCATGGAGCGCTCTAAAGGTGATAACAAAACCTTGAAGCGCAGTCGGAAGACCACCGGGAGCCAGTGCAGCTCGCACAGGAGAGGTGTTACATGGGAGCGCCACGTCGCTCCCGTCACCACCCCCGCGGCCACACTCTGCGCCAGTTGGAGCCTCCAGGTGCTCCTCAAGGGGAGTCCCATGTAGAGAGCGTTACAATAGTCCAGACGGGAGGTGACGAGGGCATGAATGACCGTGCGTAAGGAGTCCCGATCTAGAAAGGGACGCAACTGGCGAATCAGGCGAACCTGATGAAAAATCCTCCCGGTCACGGCCGTCAAGTGCTCTTCTAAAGACAGCCGTGAGTCTAGGAGGACACCCAAGTCGCGAGCCCTTTCCGTGGGGGCCAATGATTCGCCCCCAATAGTCAGCGATGGCACCAGCTGACTATATCGGGACGTCGGAAACCACAGCCACTCGGTCTTGGATGGGATGAACCTGAGCCTGAGCCTTGGATGGGATGAGCCTGAGCCTGAGCCATTTTCTTTTCAATAATACAAATGGGAGCTCTTCTGCTTTGTTATCTGTTTGCTCTTATTAACAGAATAACAGAATAGTTGCAGACTATGGAAATGCTTGTTGTATTAGTCATAATTTCACATGTTCCTCTAAACTATAATGTAGTTGGTTTGCATTGGACAGTCTGAATGTAACTATTATGGCTTATAAACCAACATTTATAGGTTAGCATAATATGTAAAGCCAGCTGTTGTGGCTTATTCAAATCCTGTTTAAAATTAAGTTTTACTGGAATAAACTGACTCCAGTTAGGATAACATTAGAGTTCTTTTCAGAGTCAGACTTCACAGAAAGTATGAAAAAATAAAGGGGAGGGAAAAAGTCTGAAGGAAAGCAATGCCCAGTTACCAATATCTGGTAGAAGAACAAGAACATGTAATGCAGTTTCCAGGTATACTTGATATCAATATTTGAAAGTTATGAGGCAAACCCTTTGCCACACAATTGAGAAATGCCCAATTCATTCATTTCATTTAGATATTTTCTTCAGATTCTTCAGATACTGTATATTCTTCTTTCTCTGGTTTTATTTATAAGTATAAGGTTAGTAAGGCCAAGAAGCTGGTCTGGGTCACCAAATAATATTTATGACTGAATTTAATTCATCTAAGTAATTTAATTCATAAAGCTGAAATATAACAAAATTACGGAGGCCCCTTCCCTGTTGCTCCTTCTCCCTGGATGAAGGTCCCCTTTTCTTGCAGGAGAAAGCAGGAACAATTATTCTTAACCTCCTCCTGTCTGGGGAATGTTCTTCTTTTTCTGGCTAGAGGGAGAAAGTAAGTGTAGAACAAGGGTGCTCTGCATATAATAATGTAGTTTAGCTTCCCCAAACTTCCATGTCTTAAAGCAGGGATCCTCAAACTTTTTAAATAGGGGGCCAATTCATGGTCCCTCAGACTGTTGGGGAGGGGGGGGCGGACTGGCTGGGTGGGAATGGCTAGGTGGTCATGTGACTGAGTGGATGTGGCCAATTTAGCAGTCCATTAAACTACACACAAATTAAACTTTAATTTGTTATGTTCCTGGGGGTTGAAAGCAGGTTAGTGAAGGGATGTGGCTGCCTTGTGGGGGGGGATGAGGGACTTTGTGTGTGTATGTGTATGTGTGTCTTTCTCTCCCTCCCTCCCCCTCCCTCTCTCTGGAAGCCGGGGAGGCCAAAAATGGGCCCATTTTTGGCCTCGGCCTCCAAAACCACTCAGTCACCCAAAAACGGCCCCAGTTTTGGCTTCCTGAAGCTTCTGCATGTCCCATTTTTGGCCTCCTCGCCCACCAGAAGGGGGCCGCTGGGTAGGTGGAGTGATGTGGGCAGGGCAGCCTCGTGGTCCCATGTGGGCCAGATTAATGGCTTTGGCGGGCCGCATCCGGCCCACGGGCCACAGTTTGAGGAGCCCTACCTTAAAGGGATGGGTAAATTACCCAAACTACTTTCTACAATGAAGCGGAGTGACAGTGAAAGCAAGGAAAAGGATTTTATTTTCATTGATTTATTTAGTCGTGACTTTTTTAGAGTAAATTTCACTTAATCTGGGATTTACCAATATTAATCCAAGCCATGATTTCCAAATCCATTTCCAATGATGGATTCACATCCCGGTTTGCAATTAATCCTTAGCAGCAGCAGCCAGTCATTGGGCTTCCTGAGTGAGGCAAACAAACCAAATTATATCAACCTCTGTTATCCAATGTTATGTTAACTTACTTGAATCAAACTCTATGGGAAGGAATGACGCACATATATATTCAAATGTACACAAAGGTGCCCAGTTCACTCGTAATTGGAGGCTTAAGAGCATCAAATGGGCTGTGGGGACAGGTGCTGTTTATTTCCCAAAGCATCCAGTTCCAGGTGTTGGCCAGCTTCACATGTGATCTATGGTTATTACTGGCTCCCAGCAAGCAGACAAGTAGTCTGAACTAATCCCTAAGAGTGGCTGATCTGGAGAATAAGTCTTGGCATGAGGGACGACAACAGGAGACTTTATCATGAAAACCCTTGTTGGTTTGTTTAATTCACCAAACTGTATTTACTCAAAATAGCAACTGTGGCTGGGATTAATTTTCAGTTCCCTAAGGTCAAATTGTTTCCCTTCTACGATAAGAGGAAGGAAGAAGTAGGGAGGAATGGAGCTGAATGGCCTGCTCTGTTCTAATTCACCAAATATTCCCTGCTAAGAGAAGAGACATAGTTCATGGCACTTTGGTAATGGGCCCTGAAATATACAGAACAAAGCTGATGACTAAAAAAAAGAGCACATGCCCAGCACCCAAAGCTGCAGGAAAGTTACAACTGTGAAAGCCTGTTTCCTAATCTTATGAGGATTTTTATTGTTGTTTAGCATAAAAAATATTCTGCATATGCTCAGGGGAACTAATCTTTATGATCAAGTTTGTGGACTAAATCTTTGTATTGAAAAAAAAGCTTTGACTGATTAAATTCAGAATAAATCACAGTGACTTTTAAGAGGGTAACAGCAAGTTATCTGATAATAAATCAAAACCTTGTCTGTTTTTATTTGCTCTCAGTTCTAACTTCAGCCATAGAAAATTTTATCTGAAGTAATAACAACTGTGTGGATTTTACAGAACAAGTGGGACTTTTCTTGAATCAGGCAGTGATTCAAGAAAGGCTTTCACCCTCTAAAAACAAATCTGGTGTGATTCAAAACTTTTGTGTTAATGTTGGACTTTCCAAAACATCCTGGACTTACTTCAGTAGATTGCCCAAAACAAATATACTTTTATCTGCTAACAGAAATACGTTTAATTACTGGTAGTTCTATTACATTATAATGCTTACAACATATAATGTTATAATATATAATATATAATATTACAGCATAATGGACAGTGAAATGGAATGAATTGCCATTTAACACTATTAACACTCCCTTTCACTTTCTGTAACTAAAAATGTGTAACGATCTTTTTGATCAAGAAAAGAAAACACTAAACCATGCAAAGATTGGCCTTGAGAAAGCAAGCCAGAGTGTAAATCCATGATCCAGCATATGGTGGACTAAAACTCTTGCGACATATCATACAATCCCCTACCTGTTCTTTTTCGGGGTGGGAGGAGTTGCAGCCTATTACATGTAGCTTATTTATTCAAATTCTTTAGTAAATTTCCCACAAAACTGCAAAGTTGGAAATGTTGCAAAATTCCAACCTGAAATATAAAAATTTACTTTAAATATTATACTAACTTAGGTCTTATCAACATATTAAGGCAACACTTAATTTTATTATGTTTTGGAAAGTATGTCTCAGTTTTCACTCAGTTCAATCAATTCCCTAGATGACTTTGAAAAAAATGTTAAAGATTGTTGAATCAAAATAATTACTATTTTTCCTCACTGTTTTAAAAAACAAATATATACTGCACATTGTTCACTTCCACCTGCTGCCAGTAGTGTCAGCTGTAGGTCAGTTGATTCATTTTTTGTCATAGCTTCCTCCATTTGATTCAGCTTCCTACCCTTGGTGACATGATTCTCATCAGATATTGCAATCATTTTCATAAGTGATGTCTACATTAGTTTTTGTGCATTTGACAATCTAATATTCAAATTCACAGTTCCTTCTTTCTTTTTTACCTGATTTTAAAGCTCTGTCCCACGTTAACTTTGCTTCCACATGTCTAGTCTAGATTAATGTGTCTCAACTTTGGCAATTTTAAGATGTGTGGACTTCAGTTCCCAGAATTCCCGAGCCAGCGTATTTGAAATCCATACATCTTAAAATTGTCAAGGTTGAGAAATACTGGTGTAGATAAACAGCCATTCTCGACATTATTTGTGAATATACTATGTATAAAGAACCTATGGTCCTGTAAGTATTGTTTCAGCACCTCCACTTATCCCTCACCATGATCATAATTATCCTCCATCTCTGCACAACTCTTTGTACTTACAGCTCCAAAGTTTGATCTTTTCTAGCATATTTCACAGGCAAAAGATATTCCCCTTCTACACCTTGTCAATGAGAGCAGAGTTCAAACATGATTTGTTGCTTCTTCCTTTTCTGCTGCAATTATAGTTTTCCAACAAAGCTAGTTATCTGGATATCTTAGAGGGTAAATCTGCAACTCAAACAGGCAAGGGTCCTGTAAAGGAAGAACTTTGTACCCTGTGTCCCTTGCCAGTTAGAGTGGCCAAATTTTAAAGTGGGTAATGGAAAATCAGCAGTTTCCTTGTAACACGTGGACATTTATTTAACTCCCTTGTAAAAGTCAAGCTTTTAAAATGCATTTTAGGTGTCTCTGAATAGGTTACAGAAGAAATGTTTAACTTGAACAAAGAACCTTTTATAAGATGCTTACTTATTGATTCTGAATCTTTTCCTCAACCAAATAATACTTCCTTTAAAAAACTTCATTTCTCTCTTTGAAGCTTTGTGACAGAAACAAATCAGATATATGTGGCTTATTAATCCTATCTTTAAAAAGCAGGACTATGAGATTTTATATTTAAAATAAAAATGAGGGGGTGAGGCAGAAGAACAAATCTTTCCAAGACCAAACCTGCCAGGCTGAAAACAATTTTACAAGTTAAAATTGTGGAGATGCAGGGAGACCTTGGCTCATTTTTCTCAAGGTGTCCTGTATTAGAGGTAACCTGACAAGGACTTTTCTATCATAAGAATTTTGGTGTTTATTTGATCATAGTTATGACATATAAAAGGAATTTTTTCCAGATTTATTGAAATATAGAATAACAGAATAACACGAGTTGGAAGGGACTTGGAGGTCTTCTAGTCCAACCCCCTGCCCACAGGAAATTCTACACCACTTCAGACAAATGGTTATCAAATATCTTCTTAAAATTTCCAGGGTTGGAGCATTCAGAACTTCTGGAGGCAAGTTGTCCACTGATTAATTGTTCTAACTGTCAGAAAATTTCTCCTTAGTTCTCTTAGTTGCTTCTTTCCTTGATTAGTTTCCACCCATTGCTTCTTGTCCTGCCCTTAGGTATTTTGGAGAATAACTTGACTCCCTCTTCTTTGTGGTGGCCTCTGAGATATTGGAACACTGCTAACATGTCACCCCTGGTCCTTTTTTTTATTAGACTAGACATACCCAGTTCCTGCAACCGTTCTTCATATGTTTCAGCCTCCAGTCCCCTTATCATCTTTGTTGCTCTTCTCTGCACTCTTTCTAGAGCAGTGGTTCTCAACCTTCCCAATGCCGCGACCCTTTAATACAGTTCCTCATGTTGTGGTGACCCCCAACCAGGGATGAGTTCTAAATTTTTTTACTACCGGTTCTGTGGGCGTGGCTTATTTTGTGGGCGTGGCTTGGAGGTCATGTGACTGGGTGGCCATGGCTAGCTGGTCATGTGACCGGGTGGCCATGGCTATGTGTATAGGGACTACTCAGAGGGCTGAAAAAAGTCATTTCTGACAGGTCCTCGCACTTTTGACTGGTCCTCACACTTATGACCATCCTCACATTTATGCCCGTGCAGCATTCTTAACAACCATGTCACTCATTTCACAACTGCTTCTCTTCACCATGGTGACAAGATAGGGCAAAAACGTAAAATGTGAGGACAGTCATAAGTTCGAGGACTGATCAAAAGTGCGAGGACCAGTCAAAAATAACTTTTTCAGCCCTCTGAGTAGTCCATATGCATAAAAGGATACAGCAATAGAGAGGGATGAAGGAAGGGAAGGGGAAATTAGAGTAGGAGTGAGGGTAAGATGGGGAGGAAGAGAGGAGGAGAAGGAGAAAGGAAGAGGAAGTAGGGAGGAGAAGAGGGGGGGAAGAGAAAGTAAGAAGGAAAGAAAAGAGAGAGGTGGTAGGTTTGAGGATAAAGATTGCTGTACAATAAAAAAGATGAAAGGGAAGAAAACCAACCTCAAACAAATATGAAGATATTAAGATAAAGAATGAATTGTTAAACTTTAAAGAATAAAAGAGAACAAATATGAATAAATAGCAATAATTAGAAACACACATACAAACATACAATGTATTTTCTTTGAACAGAGTATTTGGCCGGTTCACAAATTTAAACAGTGAACAGTGTTTAGTCATTTCAATTAAATTTACAATTTCTATATTTCCTTTTTGCCATATTTATTCCTCATCTATTTTTTTAAAAAAACAATATTACCCTTCATCCTCATCTCTAATCTTAATCAAATTCAATTTTTCCCTTCTATTCTATATTATACCCCTTCCCATTGTCATCTATTTTTATATCCATCCTCACATTGGTTAATTATGTAATTATGTAATACAGTTGTTTAATATAAATTCAACATTTTAATATAAATCAATTAGTTATATAACTACATTTTTGTATATTAATTAATATGAACATGAATATTCCAATTATTTCCATGCAATCCCAATTTCTTACAAATCAATTAATTATATTTACCAGTAATAATAAACCAAATAATTTCCCCCATATATTCCTCCAAACCACAACTTAACCATTTCTGCTTTCAACACAATATACAATTAATAGTATCTCAATTATTACAATTCCCTAGTTAAATAGAGCTTTTTTTCTTTTGTGTTTTAAAATTTTGAACCTCCTTTTTTGCCCTAAATTTCCCATTGTTTGCAGTTTTGCACCTACCTTTTTTTGGTGAGGAAAAAGAAAAAGAAATCTCTCTCTGCCTCATTTTGTCATGTTGCAGAAAAGACCCTGCTTTACTTTCAGTTTCATTTTTTCAGCATAGCTAGGGGAAAAAAAAATCTGCTCCAGATTTTTTTGCACCTATCAACAGAGCCCTCCACAAAACAGCTGAGAGCAAATCAGCTGAGAGTCGAGGCTGATCTAATCAACTTGTGCTAATTAACCTATCCTGAAGCTGAAAGGGGCTGTTTTTTCTATTTTTGCAGACACTGGTCTACTCATTTGTTTTCTTTTAACACTGATCAGCCATAGGGCGGCCCTTTGAAGCCCCGCGGCAAGAATTTAAACAGTTTTTTTCCCTCTAGCCATCAACTGGGACTCAGGAGGCAGCAATAGATTGGGAGTGGGTGGGGTAAGCGAACGGCCGGCGATCCTACAGAGGCAGAGAGTGAGGGTGAGTGAAGGCGTGGGGGGGGCAAGAGAGGGCTTTGGCGACCCCTGTGAAATGGCCGTTCGACCCCCAAAGGGGTCATGACCCCCAGGTTGAGAACCGCTGTTCTAGAGTCTCCACATCTTTTTTATATTGTGGCAACCAAAACTGGATGCAGTATTCCAAGTGTGGCCTTACCAAGGCATTATAAGGTGGTATTAACACTTCACGTGATCTTGATTCTATCCCTCTGTTTATGCAGCCTAGAACTGTTTTGGCTTTTTTGGCAGCTGCTGCACACTGCCGGCTCATGTTTAAATGATTGCCCACTAGGATTCCAAGATTCCTCTCACAATTACTCCTATTGCGTGAGATACCACATATACGGTACTTGTGCATTTTGTTTTCCTTCCCTAAATGTAGAACATTACTTTTTTCACCATTGAATTTCATTTTGTTAGATAGTGCCCAATGTTCAAGTCTGTCAATATCCTTCTGTTTTTTAAGCCTATCTTCCGGAGTGTTGGCTATTCATGCTAGCTTGGTGTCATTTGCAAATTTGATGAGTTCCCCATCTATCCCCTAATCCAAATCATTGATGAAGATGTTGAAGAGTATTGGGCCTAAAACAGAGCCTTAGGGTACTTCACTGCTTACTTCCCTCCATGTAGATGCAGTTCCATTGAGTACAATATGTTGAGTGTGATTGGTCAGCCAGTTATGAATCCATCTAGTGGTGATGCTGTCTAACCTGCATTTTTCTATTTTATTTAGTAGTAGGTTATGGTCTACTTTATCAAATGCCTTACTGAAATCCAAGTAAATTATATCAACAGCATTCTTTTGGTCCACTAATTTTGTCACTTTGTCAAAGAATGCAATAAGATTAGTCTGGCAACAGGCATGATTTGTTTTTGACAAACCCATGTTGGCTTTTGGTTATTACTTTGTTTGCTTCTAGGTGTTCACTGATTCGTTGCTTGATTATCTTTTCCAGAATCTTCCCTGGTATTGAGGACAGGCTGATAGCTCTGTAGTTTCCTGGATCTATTTCTTTTCCTTTTTTGAAGGTGGGAACTACATCAGCTCTTTTCCATTCCTCTGGCAGTTCCCCGGTGCTCCAGAATCTTTGAAAGATATAGTTCAGTGGTTCTGAGATCTCGTCTGCCAGTTCCTTCAGAACCTTGGGGTGTAGTCCATCTGGTCCTAGTGATTTGAACTCATCTAGGGTAGACAGGTGCTCACTTATCATTTTCTTCCCTATTTTAACTTGTATTCCTAATCTGTTTTTTTGCGGGGCTCTTTTTGATAGGTTGGACTGTTTTTTCCCTTTGTGTAAAGAAAGATGCAAAAAATGAGTTAAGTAGTTCTGCTTTCTCTCTGTTGCTTGTCACCTTCTTGCCACTTTCTCCCAGCAATGGACCAATTGTTTCCTTGACTTTTTTCTTGTTTTTAACATGTTGGAAGAAGCCTTTTTTTGTTATTTTTTACTTTTGTCGCAAACCTTTGTTCATTATGAGCCTTAGCTTTACTCACTTCATCTTTGCAGCAAATAGTTCGGGCTATTTGCTGATATTCTGCCTTAGTTATGTGCCCTTCTTTCCACTTTTTATACTTGTTCACAATTGTTTCAGCTTGGATGCCATGATTAACGCACCCACGTTAGATTTAACTACCCTGTTTTCCCGAAAATAAGACCCTGTCTTATATTTTTTTGAACCCTGAAATAAGCGCTTGGCCTTATTGCCATGCACTCAAAAGCCTGATTGGGGTTATTATCAGGGGATGTCTTATTATGGGGGAAACAGGGTAACACTACTGATCTTACCAGTCAATCTTGCACGAATAATAAATAATAATAGAAATATGCCCCTATTGGTTATGCTAGACTTTCCAGCAGCTTTGATGCTATCAATTGTTATAACATCGTGACAACCTGCTTGGTATAAGATTCAGGGAGATTTTTTTTCATGATTCCTACTACTCTTTAGTAAGTTAACTCTAGACAGTAATTTCAAGAGATTCCTTTATACAACTTTGACCATTATTCTTTTTGGACCAG